ACGCGTTTCCTAGATGTTTGGTTAGTATCGAAGAAGCGGAAATAACTTTCTTTCAAGGGTATCCTAGCCATTACGCGTTTCTTAGAGGTATTTTAGTAACTAAGAAGGAGAAATAACTTTCTTTCAAGGGTATCCTAGCCATTACGCGTTTCCTAGATGTTTTTTTTAGTATCGAAGAAGCGGAAATAACTTTCTTTCAAGGGTATCCTAGCCATTACGCGTTTCCTAGATGCTTTTTTAGTATCGAAGAAGCGGAAATAACTTTCTTTCAAGGGTATCCTAGCCATTACGCGTTTGGCTAACCCCTCAAGCTTGCGCCGCAGGCTTCGGAAGGAAGAGGGTCTCTCAATCTGTAGCTCGCGCCGCTGGCTTAAAGAAAGAGTTAGCCCATCAAAATTGCGCCGCAGGCTTAGGTATGAAGCTAACCTCACAATCTGCGCCGCAGGCTTTAGGACGAAGCTAGCCGCACAAGCTAGCGCCGCAGGCTTCAGAACGTAGCTAGCCGCACAAGCTAGCGCCGCAGGCTTCAGAACGAAGCTAGCCTCACAAGCTAGCGCCGCAGGCTTCAGAACGAAGCCAGCCGCACAAGCTAGCGCCCCAGGGTTACAGAAGGAGGTAACCGCTCAAGCTGGCGCCGCAGGCCAAAAAAGGAAGCTAATCCCTCAAGCTTGGGCGCAGGATGAGGTAGCGACCTAGCAGATCAAACATGCGCCGCAACTAACGAAACTAGCAGTTCAAGTTTGCGCCGCATACCAATACAAAGAGGTTTGCATAGAAGATGCGTTTTGCTTTCTTCAGGGTAACTTTATGTGGAAGGGCGCTCGATTCATGGGGCCTAGACGGGGTCCAGCGGGGGAGAGTCGCGAAGCGGAAATACTTTCTTCAGAGTAATCGTCGAGCCCGGAAAGATATCGGTCAAATTTTGCACGAAGCATATATAGTCCTGATTTTTGCCGAAAATTGTTTCCGTTGATTGCACCCATGCCGTGGAGCCTAGAAGTTAGAAGACTCGACGAAATATATTTGATGTTGTCTCCCTGCATCTGCATCTTGCTCTTTCCAAGATATTTGGTTTTATACTTACAAGCAGGCCTGGGAATTTGGCGGGCCGAGAAAAATCGGCATTTTTCGGGCCGGGCCGGGCCGAGAAATCGAAAAATGCCGAGCCGTGCCGGGCCGGCCCGGCCTGGCCCGGGGGTTTTTACATAGTCTAAAAATACATTTTTTGGGGGAAATTGGGACTTATTTTGCATATTTTCGCTCACGAATAGTCGATTTGGCGTTATTATACAGCCTCAATAAAAATTTGGTCCTTTTCTCGATTACGCCCCTACCAGGAAATCGGTCCGGGTTCGACCCCGCCCGGCGTCTTTTTTTGCTTTATGAATTTTTATGTCAGCGCGACCGGATTTTTTCTTAAATGTATCAGTATGTATCATAGTACTCAACTAAGACCCAAAATATATATTAATATGGCGAATTTAAACTAGAAATGGCTTAATTTAACATTATTACCCTGATATCGGTCGATATTTAGCTCTTAAAAATCGTTATAACTTTGAAATTTAAATTTCATTAACCGAAGTGCTGCAAACATGGGCCACTAATACCGTATTAACAGCAAAATACCTTGCAATGGTGTTAAACCAGCTTGGCGGAAGTTTTTTGGCCAACCCCGTATTTGACCCTTAAAAGTCGGGCCGAGAAAAATCGCTTCGGGCCGGGCCGGGCCGGGCCGGCGAAATCGGGGTGGCGGGCCGGGCCGGGCCGGCCCGGCCCGCAAAATTCCCAGGCCTGCTTACAACCAAGGAAAGATTTAGCGTCCCGTTGTAAAGCGTCAACCTGAGCATCAGCCGTTGTGCACGTTATTAAACTAATCTTTTCGTTAAAATAAACTTGTGATCAAAGCAATATAGTTTCTTAGACTTATAATAGCCTTTCTTTCAACAAAACATTGAGTAACCAATTGCATTACGCGACCTAAAAGGTTGTCACTTCTATTGCGCGCCCCCGCGAATCAGGGCCCGTACCAGATTTCAAAATTTTACTAGGGTAGTAACCGTTTTTTACTACCCCGATTAAAATTGTTACTACCCTGGTTAAAAAAGTTACTACCGGCTAAAATTTTGTTACTAGGGGTCCTAAAAAAGTTACCACCCCGCGGAAAAGTACCGATTTTTAGTCGAAATCAAGCTAATTGCTCCGGAATAAACTAGTGAAGCATCACTACGGCCAGTAAAAAAGTACCCGAACCAGCCAGGTACACGAACCGGCAATTTTAGCTGACAGTGTGGTTAGTGAAACTCCAAATCTATAAAAAACTTCCTAAAAAAGGTAAGCAGTTCTAAGCAGTGCCATCGGCTTCATGGCCATCAAAGCTTTTTCCCTTGGTGTTATATACGATGAAGAACCTTGGTGTTATATACGAAATCCAATCGGGTCTTGAGTCTCACCCTGACAAAAAAAATATTTGGCGGTATTAGTCTCAAATTATTGACCCTGGCCTCTTTCACAAGCACCATAAAGTTGCCGTAGGAAGAACCACTACCAAGATAATAAGTTCCGGCCCTGAGTTAAATGCCGAAATATGCAAAAAAAGTAAATCGGAACAGTTTTACGAACTGGGTAACGCGATTTTTCATGATTGGAAAAAATAAAAAAAATCTGGCGGATCAGCCCTGCAATTCCATCGCTAGGGTTAGATAGAGCATTTTGGTACCGCGACACGCGCTCCGCGGACGCTTGCGCCGCTAAAACAGTTTCGTCTCACCGGTTTTCTAAGATTCGATAAGATTTCCACTCACCAAGTATATTAGTACATCTTTGAACTGAGCGAGAAAACAGTCAAAAAATTGAGAATTATAATTTTTACGAAGCCGTTGGGACGGGCATTTTGCTTTAGCAGTACTGAAAATGTTACCACCCTAGTAAAAAAAGTTACATGAAAAAACATTGGTGTATCTTTTTTTACTAGGGTAGTAACTATGTTTATTAGACATTTAATCATGAAAATACATAGTATGTGACCTTTTATTGACAGAGACCAGTAGACCGATGGGCTATCTTTCATACGAAATCATGTTTAGACCGCTTGGTGCCCATTGACCGGAATTACATCGTTTTCTACAAAACGGGTTACTACCCCCTAGTAACAAAAAGTGGCACACCACCCCAGAGAAATTTTTTTACTCCGGGGTAACTTTTTTTTTACCCGGGTGTAACTTTTTTGATCCCCCTAGTAAAAAATTATATCGGGGTAGTAACTTATTTAGCCGGGGTAGTAAACTTTTTGTCGGCGTTCCCTGTCGAGCCTTGTCGGTATTTTTCGTATCTGTCTTTGCAAAAACACTGGTTTGCCTCTCAACAACGATGTGACACCGGCCCCGAACTTTTTTTTTGCGCCTGAGACCTGTTAAATTGATTTTAAAATTGCGCTAAAACGTCCCGCTCGGGGTCCGTAATCCGGGTCACGGGCCACTTATCGGGGTAGTAAGAAATTATACTACCCTAGTAACTTTTTACTACCCTGGGCCGGGGTAGTAAACGAAATTTGGTACCAGCCCAGTGTGTTTGACCGTCAAAACCCGTAGTAGTCTTACTAGTAGTACAAGGTGTTCCCGATATTTTTTAGCTTGCTTCCTAGTGCAGAAATGATGAATAAAAAGTTCTTCACGGCCTTCAGAACGCAAAAAGGAGGCTTCGGACCAAAAAGCAAAAAATAAAAATAGTGAGCGGGTCCGAACCCACGCCCACTGCTACACCACTAGGCCACCAGACCACGGTGGAGGGCACGTGGGGAGGGATTCGGAAGGTCGGGTGAAAACTTTAAAGGGCTGTAACTTTGTTGTATTACAGTATCCGCAGCTAAAAGTTACATCAATCGATTCGTCTCGTCGAGTTCTACAAGATGAGCTAACTTTCAACCCGAAATTCGAGGCCGAGCGGAGACCATTCCCTAGTTAGGTTACAAAGAACAAGGAGGTAATTAGCGAATTCCGTTTGGTCAGCGAGGCTTTTTTATGGTATTAAAGTAATTATCAAATTCTCGGAGCTAATTTTTCGTTAAATCTATTTAAACAGGTGTACAAGCTGGACCAGTCGGAATTTGCCAATTCCCTATAAGGGGCATAAAGCGCAAAGTAATAAATGAGAGTGAGTAGGCTGTTTAAACGACTGCCCGATGGGCTCGGCTACAGGGAATTATTCGTTATTTACCTATCGGTTGCTTTTTAAAAATGTAAAATTCTTATTCAAGCAATTATGCAAAAAAAAATGTAAAACAGAATTCTACGAATCGCGCCAAAGAGGGAGTTCGCTACTAAAAAGAAAAAAAAGCGTGATAATGATCGTAATTCGCGAAAATTAGAATTTTAGAATTCGCGAAATTTAGAATTTCGAAAACTTTTGATTTGCATACAGTTGCTGTTTTTTTTTGTTTTTCTATACGTATATGCCAAAAGAAACCATTTGCTATTAACGGTATTTTACAAACGCCGGAATTTCTACTCATTCCATGTGATAAGCGTTCCCATGTTGTATTTTATTTTGTGCAGTAGTTCTATGCTACGTTTCGGCTTGATGAAGTAGTGCGTAAGAATTCAATTTAAATCGAATCTTCCCCCACCACTACAGGGACTAGAATCACGGTCTTGGATGATCCAACCATCAATCATCCGCTGGATTTCAAGTGGTGACGGCCTCCACTTCCAACAAACCCTACCGGATTGCTGAAAAAAAACTCTGAAGCGCTTTGTGAAGTCATCTATAGTTAACGACAACGATTTATTTAAATTGAATATACCCGAAAGAGATGCTAGATGGGGAATGACTAGCCAAATATGTTAGAACGCAACACGACAAATGAATCTCAAAACAGAGGACGAAAGAGAGGCAAAGCAACGAAGAGGGGAGTAAAGTATGTGAAAAAGACAAACACCGAGAAAATTGACAAGAGATAGAAGCGACTCGTGAGCAATAAGATGGTTTACGTTTAGGCGCTACGCTTGCCCACATCGCGCGGCAAATGTCTTCATCAACTCGAGCTGATGCGGATTGGTGGACGGCTTGATGACTTGCAAGGCCTCTTCAAAGTCGGAGACCTAAAAAACTAATGTTCGCCAACGTTGAACCACTCATACCTGCAAACTGCGAATTGTGTGTTCGTTCGTTGTAAGCAACCGATCCCGTCCCATCTTTCTCACTGGTACCATTGCTGCCTCACGGCACAGGTTGACCAGGTCAGAGTTCGAATAACCATCGGTCATTTTGGCGATATGCCTGAACAAGATAGTTTCAGAAGGGAAAAATCATTTACCGGATGCTGGCCTCGCTTAACGATTCGTTGTGTTTTTTTAGGGTGTGCATAATGACGGCTCCGCGGGCCACCGCATCCGGCAAGCCAAGAAGTATCCGTTTCGGGAAACGTCTAAAAATCAACTATTTCAAGAAAAAAAACGCGCAACCTGAGAATGGCATCATCAAGTTCGTGTGGTCGGTTGGTGGCACCTATCACTAGTATCCTAAAAAAGATTACTAAACACAGTACCAAATTTACCGGTCATCATCAGACGTTGAGGCGCCGTCAAACTGAATCAGAAATTCGGTTTTCAACCGACGGCTTCCATCACTTTCCTTCTCGTTTCGCTCGCAGAGAACTGAATCGATCTCATCTGAAATAAATTCTTCATAGATAAAGGAAGCTTTCATTACCGACAAAAACGATCGATGGCTGGGCATTGCGGGCAATTTGGAAGAGCGCCTTCACAGTCTTCTCAGCGTCTCCAACCTAAAATTCAATAGATAACAGTCAAGTAGGTTCAAAATTACCCATTTAGAAGTAAGAGCAGATGCAGATATGTTGAAAAAAGTTTGGTTCGACTCGGTTGCCAATGCTTTCGCGAGCAGTGTTTTCCCATTTCCAGGAGGTCCGAACAGCAGAATTCCTTTGACCGGCCGTCGCAAACCACTAAAGCAAGAATACTTGCAGAATCGACAACAAACTACCTGAACAGGGATGGGTTCAACGCAGGAAAAATGACGGCTTCTTCCAGTGCTTGCTTAGCAGAATCACAACCTGAGAACGTTTACAGATTTGTTAAAATAATATACCGTAAACATCATTCAGCGTAACACCCGTCTTGTCCAACATATCGTCGAGCAGCAGGTTCCCAAATTTTGCGTCGACGCCTAAACAAATATTAAGAGTGTCGAAACACGGAAAGAACCTCGCAACATGGCGTTACGGTCAGGACGATCAGAAACGCTGCGATTCCGGGGCAGCTCTGCTGCACTTCTTGGTTTTGTCTGGAAAACATGTTGTTAGAGCAGAGTTTGGAGAAAAGGTCCCCCAGTTCACCCCCCGACAGCTTTGATTCGGTTAAAGGCGCCCTATGCTTTACGTTCATCAGAATTTTTCGTTTTTAACTCGTTTTTCTTACGCCGTCAAAAGTAAAATAATGCTCGCTAGAACGAGAACTTTGTGAAAAGGGCCAAGGATGTGAATAAACGCGCAATCGGAATTCGAAAGTACGAAATTCCGAAAGTTATCTAGGAAACAAAGTCTACAATAACCAACCGAGGACACCATGGCTCCCGGCTTCCTTCCTGCAGGAGCACAAGTTTGAGAGGGTGTTGATGTGCCTGGTCTGGGCTCAGATGATGAAAGCTTCGTTGCCAGGTACGTGTTTGCTATTTATACATTAAAATACAATTAAAAAACACTTACTAAGTGTTATAAATCGTTCTTCAGCCTTGCGCATGTTCTTCCTAACTTTTTCTTGCAATTCACAAGCTTCTTTCCTGCGATCATTTGGGATGTTCATTAACTGTACGCCAAGAGCATCCTACAAGCGAAAATATATTGCAAGGTTAAAACAAACTGACCCGAAAATGGTCAATCCCTTTCTTGTACCATTCGCAAGCGGCAATCTTCTGGTCCTTTCGTTCAACTAAAAAGATATAAAGATGAGGTAAATTCCATTCGATACCTGGGAATTGCTCATCTAACTCTACGCCACGTAGAACACATTTCCGTCCTTCCGATAGGCTGCGCTCGATCCCGTCAAGAAGCACCGATTTTGTTTTGGGAGCTGGTGGCCCCGCAAAGGAGCTCATCTAAATTTTTATTATGTTTCAACATAAAACAACCGGAAAACAGAGGAATGAGGAGAAAAAAACAACAAAAAGTCTACAAACGAGATCAGAGAAAAATCGATAAAAGCGATCGAGGGAATAACGGGATAAAAGGAAGTCTACGGTAGTGCGTAGCTGCCCTCGCTGCTAGACGTGACTTGGCAAGAAAACAGTCGATCAATCGAATCAACGTGTTGTATTCTGTAGTTTGTAGAAATTGAAGTATAAATTTAAATTTTCTACTTTTTTGCTTATTGGCTATTAACCCGAACTTGAAACATTCTGAACGTTTTTAGAAAGATTCGAAGGAACATTTGTTTAGGCGTTTTCTATAAGAAACCCGTGTTTTTACTGATGCTTACTAGTAGTACAAGGTGTTCCCGATAATTTTTTTGCTTTTAGTAAATCTATTTTCGATGCACTGATGGATTTGAGTAGTTGGAAATAATTGTACGAGTGTTTGCTAAATGACGCTAACGGTCTGGGAGCAACACATTACAGGAGACCCATGAATAACTAGAAACCATACAAAGACAAGTTTGAGAAAAAGGGAAATAATGATACTTCAATCTTCATCACTGTCTAGAATCTCTCCGTCGCTGAGTTCCTCATCCACGGGACGCTCTTTTTTCGGCTTGGGCGGTGCAGGCTCTTTTTTAGGTGGTGGTGCAGATTTGAATTCTTTCAGTTCCTCTGGCTTTTTCGGGATAAATGGTACGCGTACGGGCATATCCCTGGGAGCGCGTCCTTTGCTTCGGCGTTCCTCCGAGCGGAACTCTTTCCGATCTTGGCCGCTCGATTGCCGCGGAGCTGGAGATCGGGGTCGCTGGCTTGAGCGATAACCACTAGTTGGAGGTGTATCGTTTGCCGCAGATGGGGTCGAAAAGGCAGGCTTGGTAGCTGGCTTCTTTAGTACCTCATTCTCGATACCCCTTCTGATGTACTGCATTTGCGTGATTTCAAAGGACAAATCAGACAAGTCCTTCTGCTGCTTGTCACATTCGGTTGCCTTCTGCCGGACACGTGCGCTGAGGCGCATCACTAGAGCACGAAGCTCTTCTGGAGGCACCTCAGCCAGCCAAGTCGTATCCAACTTCGTCGTCTTCCAAGCATCGATTTTGGAAAGATGGTCTTGTAATTTCAGTTCGTCGGCTGTAAGCAGTCGCAGACAGGCTTTAGGCAATCGGGCGATATTCATGAGGCTTTGCTCTTTCATCTTCTTAGCCAGCAAGAGTAGTGGATTTGCCCATGCCTGCACATAGTTCCTTTCATCCAGAGCATCAAATGGTTCGTCGATGATCAAACTTTCTGCTGGAGAGTCCGTGCCGAGAATTGTCTCTGTACCAATCTTTAATTCCGGCAAGGCCCAAGGGATCGCGCCTTTTGCTCGAAACTCGGCACGAAGATCCATTAAAATGAATCCGAGTCGATTTCCGCCGAGGAAGGGTGGTCGGAAAGCGAGGGGTCTAGTACACAATTCGATCAATTGCTTTGTCCCGAGATCAACGTAAGCCAGCCATTGACGCAGATCTTGTTCACGCATACCCACCGAAAGTTCGGAATCCACGCTGCCCCACCTTGCACAGTAAGCCAGGAAGACATCGTTCGTATCCAGCAGTGCTCGCAGAAGGGGAGCATGTTGTTCGAACAGCATCCGCAGCGACTCGTGGATCATCTTTTGACGCTTTTCCATAAACCACATCTGGGCCCTCTCTTGGCCTCGATAGCAGGCATCAACCGTCTCGTAAAGTCGACGCCAGCATTCGATCGACGACCTCTCTTCAAGCACGTACCGGGTATCACCATCATTGAACATAAAATATTTGGCTGTTTCTTGTGCAACGTAGTGTGCCGGGCTGGGTAACAATGGTTGGTCCGGTGCTACACGAATCTCAGCCGGATATAGTGGACAGAAGACGCTTTCCGGTGTGAAGCAGATCAGATGATGGCTAATCGTGTCGATCAGTGAAGATTTAACCGGTGGAATAACCAATGGAATACGGCTTGGGGTTACTTCAGCGATCTTGGTACGCAACTCCATCAGCAAGATGGCTCCTTTGTTGCCCTGAAGATGAGCGATTCGGCGCGGCGGTTCAACAGCACACATCCATTCCACGAGTTGCTGATTTGTGACATATTCCTTTGTCAATAAATGTTGCAATTCGGATTCAACAGTCGAGCACGTCCAATCAGAAGCGATGGGCGCACAGTCAACGAGTAGTGCCTGACCAGTACTCAGCAGAAGTTGCTGCAAATATTCGATCTTCATGATTTTGTGCTTCATTGCAGATTGGCGCCATCGGTCCAGTCTTGCGAGCTTGCTTTGCAAGACTTCTTCATCAATCTTCTCCACGGCGAATACCTTATCGGCCACCTTCTTCAGAACACATGGATCGACAGTGGTGATGATCTTCTCCACGCACTTTTCATCCAAACGCAAGGAATTGAAGAGCTTCTCGTATGCGTAATGTTCCACACTACGGTAACGACCACCTTTCATCTCGAATGGATGGGCATAATAATTTGATAAAGGCTGGAAGATGCCCTTCAGGAAGACGATCTGATCATTGCACGATATCTTCACTAGATTTCCATCATCATCGGTACTGATACCGTCGATGACGTGGGGCTCAAAGGAAATTTTGGAATTTCTCCTCTTCTCGCGTTCCTCATAGCGCAGCCACATCAATAAATAACCTAGTTGATTCGCACCAACATGCGGAGGTCGATGTTGGCTGCTTCTCATCCACAAACCGACCTTCTGAGCATCCAATCGTTCTTGGTTTACAAGTTCCATAAATTGGGCCTCATCCATTCCGATGCCCATCTCCCGGTCGTTAGGATCACAGACTATCAACAGAGATTCTTTCGTCTCCATCAAAGCCTTCTCGAATGCGGGATCTTGCTGAAAACGAAGCCGAAGTCCTTCCATAGTGTAGGATTGACGGCTTTGATCTAGATAGCCGCGCAACGACTCGAGGCTGTGACCTTGGGGCATATTGTCAGTCAGGAGCTGCTTTGCTCTGTGCTTCACTTCGCTACTCCGGCAGCTGAGAAGCTCGAGAATGTGGGAGTCATTGAGCTTCAGTTGGGCTAAGATCACCGAATGGGTGAAATGTTCGGCTGAAGGGTAGCGCCGGCCTTCGTGTGAGATCGAATGGCTGAAACCGCAATGAAGGATGTCGGTCTCGCCACCGACGACGAGGAGCTTCCCGTCGTCCATCTGGAAAAGAAAAAGATGGTTGCTGTATATTTGAGGAAGGGCACGAAATGGAAAAGGTTTGGAAACGATTAAATTGTGTGGATTTGAAGGAATAGTGGGAGAGAGAGTGAGAGAGAAGGCGAGAGAGAGAGCGAGAGAGTGGGAGAGATAAAGAGCGCAAGAAAGCAAGAGAGAAAGAGCGGGCGGGAAAGAAAAAGGGAGAGAGAGAGAGACAGAGCGAGATGGAGAGAGAGAGAGAGACAGAGAGAGAGACAGAGAGAGTGAGAGAGAGAGAGAAGAGAGAGAGAGAGAGAGAGAGAGAGAGAGAGAGAGAGAGAGAGAGAGAAAGGGAAAGAGAAAACGAGGGGGAGATTGAGAGAAAGCGAGAGAGAGGGAGAGAGAGAGGGAGAGAGAGAGAGAGAGAGAGAGAGAGAGAGAGAGAGAGAGAGAGAGAGAGAAGGGGGAGTGAGAGAGATAGAAAGAGATACGGATGTGAAAACAAAATATCTAATAAAAATGGCCATAGGGGAAACTGCCGCTTTGCACATACGACTCGGAAGTACCAATACAACCCCTATTGCTACAGCTACCAATCTCGCGTTGTTTTTAAAGGTACTATGAAGTCATATGCGTGACTAGGGCTGCCGCGTTGCCAAGGAAATGTATTAAAAACTCCGACTTTCTTTGTCTCTTGAATACCCCCGACCCTGGTTCTAATATTGATCGAGTATGCCTGATACTGCTTCTTGCTCCCAGCTTCCCAGTTCCATGGAGGTGATCTGCCGCTTCATCCTGGTGGTTGCTCTGCAGCCGCAAGTCGAGTTATACAGCCTGAAATGTTACCTCCTTTCTTGACGTTTGGTGTTTTATAGAGCTTTATATGATTCAAGTTTGATCAACTACCGATAGGACCCTATTTTCAAAACAATGATAAATATTTTTTCTGCTGCATTTGGCAGTGTGCGTTATTCGCTACACAAAATCTGCTTAAAAATCAGCTTTACATTAAATTACATAGCAATATCTCGTGATTAGTAATTTAACTCTTCAGTGCAGGTTGTAAAGGAACCATATTAGTATGAATTTAAGGCCAAAATATTATAACATTTTAAGGTTCAAATGCCTAAAGGTATGTGTGTTACTACAAATCAGCCAACCGTGCGATATTGACTAACCGTCGTCTTAAAATCAACCTAACTTTTCGGGTGAATTTCGATACCAAGTGGCTAGTCAAAAAAAGGTGCCAATGCAGTTGGGGGAGGGGCAGTCCAAAATTGGTAATAAGGTGTTTCAAGACGCAGCGCTTAAGCTACTTGGTTTGCAGCTTAAGCCTAGGCTTATCTTACCTTTACCTAAGCTTAGCTTAAGGCTTAGGCCCAAGCTTAACCCCAAGCTAAGCTTATCTTGAGCTTAAATATTGCCTTAGGCGGTCAAAATGAGGTCCTTACGTCTAGGGCTAAGCTTTGCTTGGCTCAAGCAAGCTTGGACTTCGTTTGTGTGAAGCTAAGCCTAGGATTAGGTTTGGCTTAGCTTTTCCGGAGGCTTCGAGTTTAAAAAATGGAATTTCGAGCGATTTGTAGTTTAAATCCGGACTGCCCCCCCCCCCAAGTGCATTAGCACCAATAAAAGTAATTAAGTATACTGGACTTTGTGGCGCTTTACTGGTTGAGCAATTTTGTTGTCTAGGACTTATTATTTTTTCTTGAATAATTAAAAAAGACTCACATCAACTCGACGTCGTGAAGTCGTGATCGGCTACAATTGAAGCGGCACAAATCGCTTAAGAAGTCGTATGACGCTCGAAGATTTGAAGTCCAAGAACCAATAGCAGAATCGCCTGAAAAACATTTGATTCATTAGGCGATCGTATTTAACCGTTCTTGGATCATATTTTTTAAAGAATAGAAATATTGCTTTTATCTGCTTAAAATTTAAGTAAACCTTCATGCCAGAATTTCTAGACGACAAATAGTAAGCTGGGAGGTTCATTTTAATTGTCACTTACCGAGCGGATGTGGCGGACGAGCAGGTTGCGCTGCTAGATGTCTAAATTCTTAAATCCCCTAGTATGTTAAATACGCTACATTGGTGACTTCCGATTTTTCGTTATCTGGAATAGCCAAAAAATATCAGACCAACAGCTATGCTAATTTAAAGCGGCAGTTTTCCCTTAGGTTACAAAGAACAAGGAGGTAATTAGCGAATTCCGTTCGGTCAGCAAGGCTTTTTTATGGTATTAAAGTAATTATCAAATTCTCGGAGCTAATTTTTCGTTAAATATTTAAACAGGTGTACAAGCTGGACCAGTCGGAATTTGCCAATTCCCTATAAGGGGCGTAAAGCGCAAAGTAATAAATGAGGGTGAGTAGGCTGGTTGAACGAGTGCCCGATGGGCTCGGCTACAAACTACACCGGCGACGGGGGCGCATTTTGAAATCCCGCGACAGCTCACCACCAAAAATCGTGTGGGAATTACAGCTCTTATCTGGGTTGGGTTCGTCTGCCTTTACATCTGGCCAAATGGAAATTTGGGCATCGGGGTCACATGCTGACGGTTGCGCACTAATGCTAAATCCGGCGATCGATTATTTTCAAAATCAGTTGCAATTGTCTAAACCTAAAATTTTTATTTTTATTTACTTAGAATTTCAACTCACGAGTCTGAATTAACCAATGTTATACTTCTAAAGACCCAGTTAGGGTATAGAAATTGTTCTTCTTTATTTATCGCTTTTTTAATAAAATGTAAAATCCTCATTCAAGGAATTATGCAAATATAGGTGTAAAAACAAAGCTCCTACGAACCGATCCAACCAACGCCATTAGTACTAATGAGGAAAGGAAAAGTGGATATTTTGTAGCTGTGCGTATTTCGAAAAACAGAATTATCTATTTATGTACGTAATCCGGATTTGCATACTGTATTATCTTGCTTATTTGCTACTGTAGTTCTATGTTTCTCTGCCGAAAAGAAAAGCCTCTGGTATTAATGTTGTTTTACAAAAACTATAATTTTCTCCTTTTTAAATTGTGACTTTGATTTTGATACAGTATTAAACTTTGTTCTTGTAGTACAACTCTGTATTGCCTTTTGATGTAGCACTCTGCAAAAACCAATTTAAATCGAATCTTTATATGCACGATTCGGATGATAACATACAACGAAATGAACAGGGCACGACAATATTGGACATAGTGTGAAAGGACAAATTACAGGAAGAAGGGCGAGAATGAGCTGCATCGAAAGAAATTAACGGGTGGAACGGTCAGGGTGGGTGGCTAGAAAGATTCCTGATTGAGACAGAATAGAACACAAATTGAGATCGATTCCTTGGAAGGGTTATTGGGGGTCTGGGGAAGGGCTACGGTATCGACAATTGTATTCTTCTTTTTTAGTTGCACTGAAGGGTGTTAAAGAGACTTGGAAGTGAAAGGAACTTAGGTTTCCATGCAAATTTCTAAAAAAAATCAGATTTTGCCAATTAAAATTTTTTAAAAGCTGCGTACGTTATACTCATATGTTATAAGCGATAAAATTTTGCAGTTAAAATAATGGTAAAAATTACTTAAAAAAAGATCGAAAGAAGTCTAAAAATTCAAATGTTCACTTCCAAGTCCCTTTAAAACACTCCAGATGACGAACCGGCAAGAATTGAGCCGTCATTTATGGGGAAAGGAAAGAAATTGTAAAATACGGAATGAAATGATGACCAAATAGTACCGGGGTGAAAATAAAACACACAAAAACACAAAAAAGCTCATTACAGCACACGACTGGGTTTGCCGATTGATATGTGCGGGATATAACTGCCAAGATATTACATTGGGGGTGTTTGGGGGTTCAAGATATTACACTGTAAAATCAGGGAAATATGATGATGAATGAAGAGCAATCACATTTTGGCTGTGTATCTTTCATTAACTAGACGTAAACGGGTTGCACGTTGTTGCTGCTTTCATATTCGGTCCAGCGGGCGTCGTCACTTTCGTGGGTCAGATAGCGCTCGCCGACCTCTTTTTCCAGACAACGTAGATCTGACCACATTTGGTAGCCCTGAAAAAGTCAAATTTAGTAGTTATAGGTTATTGTAAATTCTAGAAAAGCATATTTTGAATGTTGACTCACCTGCATCCACATATGCACTAATGACTTAGATACTGTCAATCGCTTGCTCATCTTCACCTGCAGCAACCCGTTGATGAAGTCGATGGCTGTCTCAGAGACTTCCTAAAAAATTGCTTTAGAAAATGTTATTTTATATAGATTTTAATACGTATTATTATTCATATTTATTTATAATAACTACAAAATTCGATGACGTATCGTAAACTCACCTTCCATGGAGTCGGCGGATACATAAACTCCGCATTTTGAATTTGATCGTTGATATCCTCATCTTCATTGAATGGGAAGGTTCCAGAAAGGCTGAAAACATGGAGATCAAATTGTTATATATACTATAAATTTATCTATATTCAAGTGTAAGCTACTTAGGTATTTTATAGCACCCACCTGACGTATACGATAACTCCAACGCTCCACATATCCAGCGAACGATTGAAGCCTTTGTTTCGGAGGACCTAGAAATAACTTAATACTTTTAATCTTGAATTACGGTACCTCCGGTGCCAAATAGGCCGGCGTCCCGACAACACTCCTGCGGAAGGAACGCTCCCCGATGATACGTGCAAATCCGAAATCGCACAGTTTCACCTAGAAAGAGATTGACATTTTTTTCCATTTTTCTCCTACCTGTGGAAAATCCGAATTTGACGTCAACAAAATATTTTCCGGCTTCAAGTCACAGTGGACAATGTTCAAATTATGCAGGTAGCGAAGCGCAACTAGGATCTAAAAGCAAACTATAAAATTACGGACTTGGACAACCTGTCCAACGAGGAATTGGGTAATCCTTTCCGACAATCGCCCTTTCTCCGACGACAAGATCATCTCCAGCATGTCTCCCTTCAGCTTCTCCATAACCACAAATATTCGGTCGGGAGTTTCGAGCATTTGTTGGAATTCGACGACACCGGGGTGGGCGACTTTCTGTAAGGAGATTTGTTAGTTGTAAAGAAATGGAACTTGTTGAGCTAAAGTACAAGGCATAAATTGGCTACCTGGAGGATATGCACTTCTGTTCTTAGTAGATCTTCTTTATTTGGCGGGAACTTCAGCTTATCGATGAGTTTAACAGCAACATGCCGGCCTGTCTTTCGGTGAATACCACCGTAGACGGTACCGAACTGGCCGGAGCCCAAGATTTCGTCGGCAAAGATCTAAAAAAAAATAGTTTTTAGTTAGTTTTAAAACTATGAAAGTAAGAATTTATAGTTTTATTATTTTTAAAAATTATACCTGATATAGTTGCGAGAATTCCTGTTCTGATTGGATCTGCACACCGAGATGTCCTTTTTCCCCCTGGCTGGGAACCTTTAGTTGGGCCATGTCACGAGTTAATCCAGTCGAGGATTGTGGTGTGACGGGCATTAAAGCGCTCTGAAAATAGGTATTTATCTGGACCTGGAACACCTGGTCCTCTACTTTTAGAAATAATACACTTGAATTTTCAAAAGTTCATACCTGAATCGCACCAGACCATGCTTGTGGCGTTTGATCTCCTTTCGATTCATTGCTGGAGCTTGCTAAAAATCAACTTATATTGATTAATAGCATATTGATTAATAACAGTTAGCATAATGATGCTTTCCCACCCCTTGAATGTGCGCTATATAAGCTGTATAGTTTTAATTAATTTTTCTTTGCCCACCACTAGTCGACGGATGGTCCTCATACGCCTGCAACGGTTTTCGCCTGGAGAAATGGACGAGGGGATAGTCGAACGGGGAATTTGCAAATGGTTCGTGTATCAGCATGGCGATACACGGAAAATAGGGCCGACGATGAAGCCCGCCGATGTTGGGGAGCCGAAATTCGAGGCTGAATCAGCGGCGTGTCCGGAAACGGAGGACGAGGGAAGACAGTTTTTTGTTTTCAGGAAAAACAGTCTGGGAGGAGTCTGGAAATGTTTTCAATAGGAGAAGGTATATACGATTGAAAACCTAAACATAAAGAAGTTTTGTGATGGGAATGGGGTAGGTGATTCAGAAAGAAAGTGAGAGCGTGAGAGCGTGAGAGAGAGAGCGAGAGTGAGAGAGCGAGAGAGAGACTAAGCGAATATAAGTGCATTATGAAGCTGGTGATTCATTGGCGTCAAAGAATCTCTGCTAGCTAGAGTACCGGGTTGGAAACAGGCCAAAATTGATCTGCATCAAAATCAAAGTTAAATATAAAATATTATCCGGAAATTTAAGGTATATTTTATGGAAAATATCAGAATTAAGAACGAATTACAAGAATATCTGCTAGTTACCTTTAGAAAAAGAATATCTAAAGAACAAATTCCGGGTCCAACCGACGGACCCAGCCCTATTATGCAAAAGTTCATTTCCCCCGTGCGGCCAAAGGGACCCCCCGGAATTTACGTCATTCGGCGCCCCCCATTTTCAGCTGTCCCTCCCCAGCTCATTTCGACGTGGGACCCTCAAAAACATGGCCCACACACAGGAAATGACACTCTTTATAGCGGAATCCCAAGCGAAAACTTGTAGCCCAAATTCTCAGGCCAATTACCGAAGCTGTTCTGTTTCTCCGCGCCCGGATATCCCAAAGTCTCGTGCCAAGCCCCAATTCCCTCTCTCAACTCTCAAATTGGCCGCCGAAAAACAGACGAAGAAAAATTTGCGATAAGCATGACGTCGCGTGACAGGGCATCCGGAAAAAAGGAAGGAGAGCCTTGGGAGTTGACGGTTGTTGTGTTATTTGTAGCACGCATGTGCGGATGGGGAAAACATAAAAAATGGGCTCGGCTATTACGGAGGATTAAAGGGGGAGGGCGAATGTACGAAGAGGATTTTGTATAATTTAATTTAATCGAATTTATGATGGAAAAATTGAATTAGAGCTAGAGAATTAGTTAGATAACTAGCTAGAGAACTGGAAAATTTTTAACGAGCGAGTTCCGACAAGATTTTTGGTATTTTTAATAAATTCGTTTAGTGTTGTTTTTGACACGTCTACTTTTATTAGTATGCGAATTTGATAATTTACGTTACGACCAAAGAAGGAAAATTTTAAAGCTAATTTTAAAGCTAATAATTTTAAAGCACTTTTCGATTACACATAGAAAATCTGGCTGGCAAATTAGCTTTCAAATTTTCGCTGGAAAAATCAGAAAAACAGCAAAGTATGTAAAGCAAAATATGTATAGCTCGCCTACGCCATTATCATAGCCAAAACAATGGCCACCCAGTTCCGGTCAATACCATGCACCGGAACCCGAACCGAAAATATTTATTTAGCGCCCAGCTGAAGTACTATTTTTGGGTCAACCCCATAAAGTACCCCCCCCACCCCACGCACTTTTCGAACAACAACAATTAACGGTCTAAAAATATCAATAAACCCTAGCTTCTAGCAAATAAAAAATTGCCAAATTATGATGATTAATTAGTTGTGCGTTGGATGGACGAGACGTGAGGGTCAATTGGAAAATTTGCGGAGGTGTATGCACAGTTGGGGGTCCGACTCCTCGCCGAATTGGATTTTGTGCACAAAAAACGGGGGGAGCTGATGGAAATGGGCCGGCGAGTGAATAGATCAACGAGCAGGGAATCAAAAGGGGGGACTGTTTTTTGCGAAGAGCACATCGAAAAAATACAGCGAATGTGATGAGATGTTTTAAAAATCGGGCGATCGATCGGGCTCGAAGAATGGAATATTTTAACGCGAGGGGAGAAAAATTGGCGCGGGCTGAAAATTCTAATATTCATTTCAAAAAGATTTTTCTTACTGGTCATTTAACAATAGGCAAATTCTACGAAATTGAGATTAATTGCTAAAATTGGATGAAAAATAGAAAAATTCGGACTTTTCCGATGCTAGATTCACACATTTTGGATTTCGATTAAACGAGAGAAATTTTTGGAAACTCACAATAATTTACTAAAATTAGAAGTATTAAAAATGTGGGATTTTCCAACAGAAAATAGAACATTGTTTGTTTTCTTATGCCTTTAAGATTCAAAAATCGTGGGAACTACGGATAATCTATCGGAATTAAATGGATTCAAAAGCTTGGGATTTTCCAAATTTTCCTTTATATTTATTATCAAATTCTACACCCCTGAGATAGCAAATTCTTTGAAATTAAAACTAATTGCTTGAAATCAATCGACAATCAGAAAATTTAGCGTTCTTACACCGAATTATTGGTGTGTTTTGGCTCTTAAAACAAATCTAGCCCTTTGAAACTAACCCCAATTAGATGTAATTAGACCCGCACAGATCTCCTACGTCAATTCCAGAGACTAAACAAAACAGCTCGTGCGGTGCCAGCAAGCCTGATGCTGTCACCGGAGACCTGGTGCCCTCTATGCTTGAGCCAACTCCCCCCGGTTGTGTTCTCCGCCCTTCAGTTTGAACATTTGTCGGACCGGGGAAAAGAAGCAAGGCATAGACCGGTCCACCTCTTCAACCCAAAAATCCCATGCCCGTTCCATCCCCCTGCCTTCCAACAATCCCGAAACATATTCACGGGATTTTGGTATCCTAGACATCCTAGCTTTCACCCATTTTTCCCCCCGAAGTTTTTGAGAGATATTTCAATTTCGGCTTGAGCCAGTATCCCTCAAATTTGCCGGATCCAAGGTCATTCAGGAAGGAAAATGAGGGAAAGAGTTCGTAGGAATCTGGTGGAGAAAGTAAGCTACCCAATCTAATAAAATAATACAGTTGGCAGGTGATTTGCCAGACGCTGCGAATGTATCCTCAGGGCTCATAAAACAGGATGAACCATCATATGACGGTGTCCGACCGGCTGATGAGAGAGAGTGAGAGAGAGAGAGAGAGAGAGAGAGAGAGAGAGAGAGAGTGAGAGCCAGGCGGCGTAGTGAGCATAAACCACCAGGTCGTAAATATACGATGTGAGGCTCGGAGACCGCACTAACCGGTCGAAAATTATGAGCCGCAATTAAAGGGACCGGGAAGCCAGAAATCTTGTTTATGAATAAGTCAAAATCGACACAGTTTTTCTTATCTTATTCAAGCTAGATAAAAAAATCTAAAAACAATTTTCAAGGTAACCTAAGGCAGTAAAAAGCGCGTTCCAACAACCCCTTAAAAATTCCAGTCTTTACCCTCAATCCCGACGAAAAATGATAAATCATTTTTGAGACTGACTCCACCTGCCCCTCTCCCTCCTCCCCTCCCCTATACCGTTCGGGTTAAACAGAAAATCGGCGGCGCCCGGCAGAATCGAGGGCATACAGACCAAACAGTTCACCCGGAGCACACAAACACACATTGCACCGGGGCGCACATCTGGGTATTGCAAAAAGAGGGTAAATCCTGAGTTTCAAGGTACTTGGAATCAAAGAAATGTTGTAGATGAAATTCCCTTTAAAACGAAAGTCAGGAAAAATTTCAGAGGCGTAGGAAAATAAAGGAAAGGAAAGGAAAAAGGAAAATAAAGCAAAAGGTTTTAGGGCCCTTACGGGTCAAGAAAAACAAGCTAATCGGGTTTTAGCGGTATTTTAAAGGCTAGTAGCGCTCTATGTAAATTGTGAAGTATTCAAAACTAAAGAATCTGAACAGAAAAAGGAAATTAAGTTCCCATACCCCGCCTACGTTGCCAAAAATTCCTACGACACTGCCGGACCCAAAGGAATCAACCCAGCGAACCCCCTATTCTTTTTACAAAGAATAGAACCGCTGGAATCGGGGCCGAAGAAAGGAACTTCTCAGAAAAAAAGAAGCGCCCCACCTGGAAAAAGAAGCAAAGGGGGCAAACACGTAAGCGGCCGAAGCCCCCTTCACCATTGTGGTATTTGCATTTCCTCGCCTTCGACTACGAGCCACGCCCAGCTGCCAGCCGAGAGGAGACAAGCTATGGTTAAAGCAAATGGTTGGCCAGAAGTTTTCAAGAGAAAAAGGGGAGGGGGAGGGAGAATCGTTCGTATGCCAGATGGTGGGCATAAGGGACGGGGGATTGAAAGTAAACATATTAATTTGAGGGTTCACCGGTTTCGTAGGTTAGTTTTTATAGGCTACATTATTGCTTAAAAATCGCAGAAAATTGATAAAGTTGTGAAAAACCGCAATATTTAAAAGAAACGGGCAAATAAGCCGCATTTTATCAAAGGCTTCAGCTGACTAGTGAGATAAATAGATAGAAAAGCGTGAAGAAACGACATCCACAACTTTCGCTATGCCATAAATCGACGGTTGGGCGGAAAGGCAGGGGAGCATGAGGGGCGAGGATTGGTGGCATCGAGCCAAGGGGTTCTTCGATAGACGCATAGGCAAAACCTGATCCCGAGCACCAACCCTGCCCCTCACCCCGGGAAACAGCCGGCTGATGCCGACGCTGCCAAACGGCTTCCCGCAACTGCTACAGGCTGTGGTTGGCTTTTGTCGAAAATACGGCTGACTGGAGCTGTGGGAAACAATTATAGGGCTTCTTGGAGGGGTAAGAAATGGGTTTTCTTAGGATAGAGCGTGAAAACTACCTAAAATAACTTAAAATTCATAAGCTTGATTAAAATAGTAACAATTTTATGCCTACGCTCAAGCCTGAAACGAAGCCTAAGCCTAAGCCAAGCCTGAATCTAAGCCTAAACCCAAGCCTAAGCCCCAGCCAAACTGAAGCCAACAACGGAGCCTAAGACTAAGCCAGTGTCTAAACCTAAGCCTGAGCCTAAGCCAAAGCCTAGCGCAAGCCCAAGCCCGAGCTTAAGTCTAAGCCTAAACCTAAACCCAAATTAAGCCTAAGCCGAAAACCAAGCCATTGAATAGCGCCTTTTCTAAATATCAAGGTCAAAATCCCCCCAAACGGAAGCTTCACATAAAAGCCCCCAAACCCCCATAAAATCCCCACAAAAACCGCAACCCAACCCCCAAAAAGTTGAAAGACAGTTCGCGGTCTCTGCGGTTTTCCATCCCAATTTCTCCTCACCCGCTACAAGCCAGAAAGCGGTGATAAAATTCTCGTGACGCGTCTGGGGGATGGCTGGGGGAACTCAATTCTCACGGGGGGAGGATCGTTCACATTTGTGCCCTGTTCTTTTCGGAAATATGAATAGACTGCGGGGTGGAAGGAGCTTGAAAAAAGAGGGGGAAGGGGGAGCGGAAGCCGGGTGGTGATCGGATGGTTGGATGGATGGATGATTTCGTGGAAAATGGGGACAAGTGGATTGGAACGATGGAAAGGGGAAGGGCGAGAAAAAGAAAAAATGCGTCGGATTTCCGTTTCGCTCGTGCTCAGGGAAACGCGTTAGCTTATTCAATGGGCTCAGAAGGGATTAAAAAACCTGAAAACTATGAAAAATTCTCTAAGGAAAACAAGTTTTTTTTTCTAAAATTATAACTTCGAAAATTGAATAATCTTCAAAATGACCTTCCGACTACGCAATTTTACTAACGCTAGTCTAAAAACCCCGGAAACCCACAATATTAGCTTGCACCAGACGTCTAAAAACAAAGGGTCACCTCCCTAATCGAAGTTGTCGATCGAGAACCTTTCTGTACCAAAAAGAATAGGCTTCCCCCTCCAACCCAGGAGTGAACAGAAAGGATGACACCTTCTGTTTCTCCCGTTTTTCGCCAAAACAACCCACACTGGCTTCCCTACTAAAATAAGCATTTTCTGGTTGAAAATGTCACTTAATCCCCCTTTTTCCAGAGATTTCTGAGTTCTAGCTTTTAGTGAAAAAGCAATTTTGGTGCATTAGTTATGTAAGAACTACAAACATCAACCCATCCAACCAGCCGCTGCAGGGTACAAGCGATTCGGATTGTACTTGGGAGAGGAGGAGCCGTGTGTGCAATCAGCTTTCGAGGAGATTCGCCTGCCCGAAAAGACCGGTTCCTTCTACCCCATTACTCTTTCTCTATCGCCCTTTCTCTTGCTCTCTCGCCTGCTCAACCACAAATATCTCAATAGCATCTACCAGGGGGGGTATTGTGGTTGGCTGGCTGGTGATACGTGCCGGAAGATATTCGGGTTTTGAAAAAGGGGTTATTGAAGTGAGAGGTAGCTGGAGAGAACTAAGACGATCAGAGCTGTTTTAAAGGGCCGTTGGAGTGAGATGGAAATGTATGAGGTATACAACTAAGGAGATATTTCTAAAGCAACTTTACGAACTCGCGAAAAAACTGACTACGTTCGAAACTTTTCTTGAAAATGTTGCCCTATAAGCCCAATCCTAAGCCGAAGCCTAAGCCTAAGCCAAGCCTAAGCCTAATCGTAAGCCGAAGCGTAAGCCTATGTCTAACCTAAGCCTAATCGTACTGCTAAGCCTAAGCCCAAACCTAAGCCAAACAGAAGCAAACCCAAGGTGAGAATACAAAGTCGAATCTGAAATGCGATGCCGTCAATCATCGAGGACGATCCGCAGCCTTCGCCGAGCCCCCGAATCACGCCATAAAATGCCTTCTTCTTCCCCTTCCGCTCCCCCCTTCTCCAGCCACCCTGCCGAATCGAAACGGAAAGTTGATGGAACGCTGTGGGTTTACGTGAGATCGGACGTCAATCAACCAAACATTAAAAAAGATTGAGGCGGGGGAGAGCTTTAGAATTGATTTAGAACGGGCTGAAAATTAGCAAGAAAATGGCATTGCTTGAATTTTAGTACCAGCAACGTTTTGTGTTGGTGCTCAAAACAGACTTAGTTTGAAGCTATGCTTCGCTTAGGTTTAGGGTTAGGCTTAGTCTTAGATTTTGCTTTGGCTTAGGCTTAGGGTTAGTTACAAAATACTGTATAGATAAAGCTGTTTTTGAGCTTTCCTGACTAAGCTATAACAACCAAAAAATAGGCAAAAACCCAAAAACATCTAAAAAAATTTGCAGCCAAGACCGTTGCACAGGTGCACAGACTGGCCCCCGCAAAAGCTGAAAATGAAGCGGGGCGGAAAAAGAGGGTGCGGAGGTCGGAGTTGGAGATCCGAAGTCCCGATACCGTGCCATCGCCCTCCAGATTCCACCCTGGGCGGGTCGGAATATCGCGATTTTGCCCATTTTCTAGGAGGTGAAAGTGGTGAAAGTGCCATTGGCACGTCTGGTTGCTGCGGAAGAAAATGTTTTTAGGAAAAGGGAAATATTCCTGTTTCAAATTGGGGAATGCGAATTGGCACAAAAAAATAGGCACGAGAATTTTTGAGAAAAATGAGAAAAGCTGTGCAGGAGTTCCAAGCGGAAACGGAAGTACGGGTTGTGGAGTATATTTTGAGGCGTCCATTTCTCGAGGCGAATACCGATATTGCGTTTTTTTTTGAAGAATTACCTAATATTATTTCGTGACTTTCATTTCGTCATGCATCCCCAAATTAACATACCAACGAAATAAGTGCAGCCCTGAGTGCGGATCTCGCAGAAATGGGTGCCTTTTCGGGAGAGACCCTCGTGCTCCACTTCTTTCAGCTCCAGCACCTCGTTCAGCGGGATTTCCTGGAAACGTGCAATTTTTGCGGTTTTTAAAATTTGCATTTTGAATTAGCTGCTAAAATACAAGCGATTGCATTAGACACAATCGTCAAATTTTGCGAATTCTCAGTTACCATACCTTGTAATAGCGTGTGCTTGTCTCGTCCTGATACATCATAATTGACTTCGTATCCAGCCTCCAGTAATGCTTCTTCCTCTATAAATAAAGATCATCAAATTACTACACTGCTCTGTACGCACCATGCTGTGCTGATTGGTGTAATGGACCATCCAGCCCTCCTTGATCACTTTGTTGCTCTTTCGCTTCGTTTGCTTCTTCGACATGACGATACGCATCAGGGGGATATTCTGGAAATTAGGTTATAATGTTTTAATTCCTGGTTAATATACTGTTTGATTCTAGATAAAAATATCCTATATTTTAATCAATTAAGAAATGTATTAATGGTTTTTGTTTACTACTAACAAAGTGCCAAGCCAAAAATAGTGATTTTGAAGGATTTGAGGTCTAGTGATGACTTTTTACGATCCTAGCGATCGTGGTTGAATTTGAATTTGAACTTAAAAATGTAGAGTTCGGGTTTCAATTAAACTTAAAAAAGTATTTTTGGGTGTTTGGTTTAACGAAAATAGCAAAATTTTAGTTACAATCGTGGAGTTTTGATAATATCATAAATTTAAATGTATACTTTGTAAAAATCTGGATATGAAAACAAATTTAAGTTTATAATGTATATAATTATTTACCTGACTCTCATTGAGCGCGGCATCGTCGGCTTCGGGACTAGCGGCGCCGTTATTGAACGTAATCGTAGTGCCCGTCTCATTTTGGCCGGCCAGCGGTGCGGAGGGTGTATTTGTAGCCTTCTTATGCCTCAACAACCCAGATCCCTCGTCCGCCGACTCGTCGTGAGTACCTAAAATGTTCCCAATAACTACCGTACACTACCCATGCTGCCCGGGGCACCAAGCCAAGTAAGCCGAGCTGATAGAGTGAGGAGGTGTGAACCCGGATTGAGTATTTAGGCGATTGGAAGTACATTTCTCATAAGCTCCTTTTTCAAGATATTTTACAAAATAAAACTTATAAAAAATTACGTTTCGATTAGCTTTATCGGACTTAAAATACGATTTATCCTCAATTTATCTAACTTTTGTAATTTGAGGAGACGAATTTACGTTTAACCCAAATATTAAAAATGTCTAAAATAAATAAAACCAATATTTTTACTGTTTGAACAAATTCAACTACAAAAAAAACTCAACTACTTCTTAAACTTATAAAAAAATTATGTATAAAAAATAAAATTTACCAAATATGCAATTTTCGTTAAATTATTTAATTTAAAATCGCTTATATAAAAAAAGGAGCCTATGAGAAATGGCAATCGCCCTGTTTCTACTACTGTATTCGAACGAAAGGAATACTCGGGGGATTTGACAATCGTGTTCGGTGTGGGTTAGACACCCCCGGTTTAGATGGACTATTGACAGAAGTGGTGTACGCGACTGGACTATCGACATATTCGGACAGACAGAACGGTTGAGGTGATAGAGGGGTGGAGAGTGGCAAGAGACATTACAGTATACGTAGGTATACTGTAGCTATACTATGATTTAAGCGAGATGTAGACAGTCAAATTATTCGCTTTAGCACTGGCAAAACCAAACAAAAAAAATTAAAGTAGGGAGCACATGGGGATGCACAAGCAATTTTTGTTTTTAGAAGTTTTAAATTGCGCTTAAAGAATTGCTAATTTGATATTTTTTGTAGATTCTGAATATAGTAATTTAGATATTTTGATTTTGTCGATTTTTAAGAGGTGTGAAATGCGTGGGATGCAGTGCTGAGAGGGTGCTTGCGGGGAGAATTTGGAGTTTTGTGGGGTTTTATATTAATTTTGATCTTTGTGAATTTATAAACAATTTAGTTTGATTTGTATAAAAATCTATACCAAATTCTTCATAGATTTCGCAGCCAAAATTCCAAAAAATTTGAATTTTTGACCAAAAATCGCACAAAACCACTCCAAATTCTCGATGCATTTTTGTGGATACGGTACAATGCCGTGATTACAGTATCCATCAATCAATATATCCGGTGATTGAGCCCCACATCTTTTCCTACCCGATGACTGATCAGTGTCGAAGGGCACAGAATTCATACGAAGACTCTCCATGCTGCCGCCAAAGTTCGAGTCTGCAGAAAATGACACCCGAATTACGACGTTTCTCCCAAAAAGTGGACGCTGGTGTACGGGGTACACCCTTTACAGTATTTTATTTTTGAAATTAAATAAACTCAGGCCGCTAACCTAGAGATGGTTTAAAGGGATGGTGACAGGACTTCTTTTGGGAATCCGGTTGTCGAAAGTAATTTTTCGAAAATTTTTCGACACCACATCTTTCGAAAACATTTTTCCGACAAATTCCCTTGTCGAAAAAAGATTTCTAAAATTATGAGATATTATTCTCAAAACGCTGTATGCAGATCAACACGCCCAGCTTTACTGTCACCATCTCTTTAAAATGAAATTTCGAAAATTCGGGCAAACGCAAAAATTGCAGGCTTTCTTTTTTTCTTAAACATTGAATAGATTTACCACGGCGAGCGGGCAATTACATATAAAACATGGAATTTGAAGGGTATAAATAAACTAAAAACGAACAATGAAACTCACGATCATCAGACGCGCCGAGGAAGAATGGCTGGGCATTTGATGTGGGTCCCGGACAGTCGCGCGGTACTTGCTCCGAGCATTTTTTATGGCAATTGTATTTGCAATCTAGGGGTGGAGGATGTAAATTAGGGATGCTATTTTGCATACCTCTGCATTGGATGCCTTGGCGGATTAGGCCGCGTAGCAACTTTTTACAAAATTGGCATACTGTCGGCTTTTTGTAGCTGTGCACTTGGAAAGTGTGAGGAACCTAAAAATATTGTTTTACGTGGTTATTCAATTCATTATATTATAAACAAAGTTATAGTTTACTATTAAAAAAATAATTAATGAGGCCATACCTTTACCCGTGTCGCCTCAGCCACTTCCATCCACAATGGTCGCCCGGACCAGGAACAACTTCGATCTTTTCGCGGCATTTGCAGAAACTAAAACGATACAATAAAAATATAAATAATAATTCCGTCATGATACGCTACACGTGCGTGCCTAGTGCCGGTTACGGTCTCCACGGTATCGGGGAATCCGACGATAATTCAGAGAATATTTAGACGGGGGTTATTTTCTGTTAACTCGGACCGTAATGCTCGTATGCAAAATCAATAAAAAAATAGATTTAGATTATACTTGGGATTAGAAACTGAAAATTCATGAACGGGCAGGAGCAAAAATCGTAATATAAGGCCTCCAAAAATTTATTTATTTGTTTTATTATCAGTGAAGGCTAGAAAGTGCTATAAAAATTGCTTTGATTGCCGCAAATAAAATTTTGTTAATTCCAGTGCCTCTAAAAAATTAAATTTTTTTTGAACCTGCAAAATTACGAGCCACTAGATTGTAAAATTGATTTTAATAGAATTTCTACAGTGGTCTTAAAATTTTAAGGCCATCTAAAATTTTTGTTTTTTGTTAACAGAAAATAACACAAATGGAGGGGCGCAAGCCATTAATGCGTTCGTGAACAAAGTGGAGGGGCGATCTACCCAGTTTCAGAATGATATATGTAATTTTCAGCAGTTTCCGAGGTATGTACAGGCTTACCTGACCGGTGTCCGGGCATAGGTATTGCGGCTAAACGGTGGGGGATATACCGTAACCCGATGGTTATTATGGGGTAGATTTTGGGGGTTATACTCACATTCCCTCCAATTGCATCTCCACAATCATGATCGGTTGTGACATAGATATCTGGGGTGAGGGCTGGTGGTCGAGTGGAATCTGGGGCTTCTGCTGTTGATGAACCGCCGCCGATGGACTAAAATACAATTTATTAGGTGTCCGAAAACTATTAATAAATAAACGAAATTTACACTAAAATTTTTTAACTAACCGGTCTAAATCCATGTGAATTCGACGGTGACAACGGAATTGCCGACGGCCGCCGTTGCCTTGACCCATTGCAGTTGTTCGGGATTTTTGAAGCGCAACGCTTGTGGTAGTTCAGACCACATCCTAAAGATTAGCTTTAGCAAGGGTAGGGTAGGGTGTAAGTTAATGTACCTCTACATACCTTGACATTTCAGGCCCTGCTTGACAAGCCCAAAGAGCAGCTCCCCGCAAAAGTCGCAGAACGTCGGTGACTTGTAGGAGTGCACGTAGAGAGTGTGGGGGTGGACGACAAGTCGCTCATAGTGTGGGCAAGCTGAAAAATAGAATTTATAACGGTAGGTATTTATTTCATGGTTTTTATATTGATTTGGTTGCCGTATTTTTATGTACTTATTTTGAGGGACACATTTGATTGACTTAAATAATTTGAGCGATTAACTGCGAACAAGAAAACTCGATACGCATAGAATAACTTTTATTTTATTTTTAGCGCATATTTTTTGGTAGATTTTTCTATTTTCCATTTAATTTGTCGTATGAACAAGATCACTATGTGTATAAACCCAACTATCCAGTCGCTTTCAATAGGTCCAGCGGCCCTTTTCCCCTCAAAAACCCACAACTTATCCTCTTCAGGCAATTCATGAATATCCTCCCAAAAGAACGCATCCCGCAAAATGGCTACCCACGACTGCCCGAAATTAGCAAAATTTGTTAGCGCTACCCGCTCTCTCTACCCCCGAATGAGGGGCCCCCTAGTCGTCTTTTAGGAAACAGCCCCAGGGTCTAATAAGGTGTCCGCCCGACCCTTCACTTGTTTGATGATGGCCCGCTGGCCCCTAGTGCGTCAGTAATATTGGTATAATCTGTGGCATCGTAGAGGATGAAGAGTGCACGAGCAAACTATGGATTTTAAATGATTTTGATGGTCTATTAAGAAGCAATAAACCTGCGTGTATGCCATGCATTAAGTCTAAGCGTATCCTAAGCCTACGGCTAAGCCTAACTAAGGCGAAGCCAAAACCGAAACTTAAGCTTAAGCGCAAGCTTAACTCTGATCCTAAGCTAGACGCATTCCCATTCTTAAGCAGGTACCAGAACCTAATCAAAGCCTTCATTTGCCAAGGACGATCCCATTTCATAACGTAACTGGTTCTGTATAGCACATCTTGAATGTAACACATTAAGACGCTCCGAAATAGAGTCCAAAAATAGCGCTATACTAGCTAAAAACGTACTACTGTACTCTATCTAAAAAAAGAATCGTATCACATCTACGTATCCAACCCCACTTTTCGAAGCCCTTCCATCCCACTAGGTTTTCCAACTTTTTTAAGCGCCCGAAGCCACAAAAGCGGAACGCATCGGAATCATGTTGATTTTGTTTTGCACGGCGATAAGCCATTTTTACCCCCGCCCTCATATCCTTGCCGTAAATCCCGGACCACCGCGGCGTAGGCAGTGGTTTTGGGGTGGCGGGAAAAAGGGGGGGGGGGGGATAAGTGCAAGGTGTCTTCTCCCCACCCCTTGAAATAGGTATATAAATAGTTAATCTGGCGAATAATCCGGCTTCTCCAGACCACCTCCCGTCAACTCGACCAAAGGGAACTTCTCTTTCCCTTTTTTTGCATCGTCACAAAGACCCTCGGGGGCTGGGATGGGGGCTTGGTATTGATTGTGTGTAGGAAATATGTACAATCCGATTTATCTGGAGGGGCATAAAATCGTATAAATGACTAAGTAATTGAATTTTGATCTCCAAGTATAGCTCCTTTTGATCTACTTTTGAAATGGCCTCTGCAAGCCAGGTTTGTTTTTATAGGATCACCATAACCAATCGGTTTAAAAACCAATAAATTATCTCTTTTCCGCCTACCATAAAACGCAAAAAATGTTCAACTGACCATTTAATTTTTTTTAAAGTAAAAATATAGCTCTGCTTCCTTTAAATACACTCTTAAACCTCTAATTGACGTTCTAAAAAGTAAAATATCCTTTAAAACTTTTTAACATTTTTTTGAGTTTTTAAAGTATCAAATCCCCAAAAAATATTACGAAATTTCGCGCAAGGACATCCACTGAAGATGATGGTACGGCTGGTGCAGTCGGGCGGGCTTTCGAACGAGTTGCACTTGGCCTTGCCTTTCGGCGCCATCCGGCCCCGATTACGGTAGCCCACTGGAGCAACATTTAGGACAGGAAGTGCATCGGAAATTGGAGGGAACACAAAAGGGTTTGGGGGCAAAATAAACAAAAAATAAACTACGTGTTGAAACGGAAAAAATAAGTTTTGAAAACTCTCAAAACTAAAAGGTTATGGAGATTGCATAAAGCGTTTCGGTTTGAGACAGCTGCGTAAGGGGGTGGAATACAAAATAAAACCGTTTTTTGGAAAGGAAAAACGTTAAAGAATTCTAAAGTGTAATATTGATATTAAATAAAGTAGTACGTTTTCTATCGAGTATTGTTTAATTAAACAATTTTCGTATAATTGAGGCGTAATAAAGTATTGCTAAGAAGGCACGGAGGCTGGCAGTGAGGAGTTCTCCAAGAACGGGGTGGGCCCAAGCGACGGGCCCCAGCCGAGGGCCCAGATTTCTGTAGGGGGTGTGGCCAAGAGGCGAGGCGGGATGAGGGGAAGACTGAATCCCTTCGCCCAATATTATTTCATTTTTATTTTCCAAAAAAGTGTAGGCTATTGGGATGGAGCTATTAAGAAAATGCTATAATGCTAATTAAAACCTGGAAATAAAATTAATTCTAGATCTAGATTGTCAGTTATATACCAAAATTCAAACAATTAGTCAGATTTTCCCTAGATCAAAGGAGATTTTTTTAACATGCGCTAAAAATAGATATTTTATTAAGGAACAGAGTATCTAAATCCCCCATACTATTTTTAGCATCTTAGACAATTGTCCAGAATACCGCATTTTTCAGCCTCCCGATTTAAACCCTATTCACCAAAAGCCCCCATAAATCACTCAGAGCCAAAATTACAAATCGACGCGCGACCCGTCGCCCCGCCCCGAGAGAGAGAGAGAGAGAGAGAGAGAGAGTGACTTATAGATGAATCGGGTTGAATTTGAATTGAGATTTTGACAATTTCTCAAAATCTGGACCCAGAGGAAGCCCGCCCAGATGGTCCGTCTTCTTTTTTGGCCAGGGGGGGCGGCCAGCCATCAAAAGAAACTGCAAAAGGCCAAATTTTTGAACTTTAACGAACGGGGTTAATCAGAAGCCAGATCCTGGGTCGGTGATCTGTGCAAACTATTTGAACCGGATTAAAAAGTGGAAAGAATGGAATTAATTAGAAACCTTTAGATGATCAGGTAGTGGGTTCAACCTCTTTCCAAAAAGTTCTTTTGCCGTAACGATCAAAGGCCAATCGTTTTTTTGGATGTCATCATGTCAGTAATAGTGAAATTTTTGAATTGTCATGATTACGTCGGTGTCTATAAACAACATGATGATTTTTGATATTTTTTTGTAATCATTTAAAAAGGAAGAGGTGATTTTTGCTGTTTTTTACTGCAGAAAAGCTGATCAGCGGTAGATTATTGCCAGACAAATCCCCATGTCCTTTCTACATGGAAAATCAAGGTTTAGGTTTTACCCAGGTTTAACTAAAAATGAAACTTGTCAAGGAGTATTTTCTATTTTTAGGACTAAAAAATCTCGAATAACAGGATTCTATCCGGTAATATTTAATTTGAAACAATAAATGAGCCTCTAGCGTAAAACTACCGTACCCTGACACCTGCAAATCACATGATGATTTTAGTTTGATACCTTGCAAAACGACAAAATAATAAATATAAATCCTCGACCCTATTATTGTTAAAGACTCAATAAATCAACCTCCCCATCCAAACTACCGCACCCTTTCCTACATTCACATTCAAAGGTTTCGCTACAATTTGTTTTCCCAATCCCCCGCCCTGCAAAAGCCCATACGTCAATGGGTGCCAACCGGAAAGGCGTGAAAACATGTTGGAGATGAGTCGGTTATTTGCCTTCACCCAAATCCAATTCAAAATCCCCCCATCGAAAGCCCGATGTGAAGAACCCATTCATCGTCACGCGGCGACCCAGATTCGCGCCCTCAGATATAATTGGGCCATGTGTCTTCTTCACTCCATGTGAATGGTGTTGTTTGGAGCAAAGTGGAATTGAAGGAATTGGGTGCTACCATCTTCGGGCCAGGGGCTGCTGGGGGGCAACTGATTTGCGTCAGCGGATAATCCTTCGAAGACACACTACGGGCTGATCCTGTTGACACGGTGGGCCCATGCTTTCCCCTCTTTTTGTGTATCGACAGGTCTTCTTCATCCTTTCCATTCCGAATGAAAGCCCAAAAATCCAGCGAATCCATTGCGCGAAAGGACGAAATGTCGGGAGTGGGGGATTAGTGGGGGATCTTCTTCATATTCTTCTTTTTCTTGGTGGTTTATTGGGTATTACGAAGCTTCTGATGGGGGAAAAGGTTGAGAAAGTCATTAATCTGACCATTTCCTACATCGGATAATATCCGGGACCTGAGTTTTGTGATACTGTATACATTTAAGGAAAAGCTTTTTTCTCTAGAGTAAAATTTATTACGTAAGTCATTATAAATTTTAAATCCGCCTCATAAAACTGTATTCTAGATGATAATTCTAGATGGACATTTACTAAACTACGGATTTACAAAAAAAATATTTTTATATTTAGACGATGGGATTGAAATATATGTATTGATCGCTTCTCATCAGATGTGCTAAATTCTCCGCAGTGTAGTGTATTTTCAGTCAATTTTCAAAAATTGTAGCATCAATACAAATTTTTTAAACTATAGCCTCACAAAACAACGATTTTTAATAGACTTCTTAGGTGAGTATTTAAATATATTTAACAATCCATTTCAAAAACAATGGGCTTTTTAGAAAAATTCCCTGGCGCATCAAACTCATTCAACAATTCTAAGCTCTACCCTCGATCAAAGCAGACACGGCACAGGCTTCTAATCCCTTTTGAAAACCCGAAATTCTCTTTGTGCTTCAGAATTAAATTGAATTTGCATCCCGAAAATTTGCCCACTTAACCTTAATAAAGTCGATCTCCATGCTCAAATCCAAATACATTAGCCGGCCCCTCTTTATTCCATTTCCATTCCATATCCCACCCCCATACACCACGTGTGTCTATTTACAAGTCCGATGTCAAAATTGGCGTAAACGGGATTAGAGCGGAATTACCGGGCAGAAGGAGTGTTCATTCAGCGCTGTATTTTGGCAACGTCACAACCATCACCCACTCAATTTCACCTGGGAGGGGGGCACCCCGGAAAAAGTTGGTAGACGTGATTTTGGGAGTATTTTGATTGACGTGAGGGTGTTTGCTTTTGAATTTTTGAATTTATGACTATTGGATGACGATTGCTTGAACCTTTAATTTATCAAATACAGCAGACAATCTTATTTTCAAAAACACCAGGGAAAGCAAAATTTATATATCTATTAAATCGACGAAAAAGCAATACGACAATTTTTTCATTACAATGATCATTTTAAAATTACTTTAAAACCGCCATCTATGCGATAATGAAATTACTTATACGGTTTAGACGCCAAAACTAATTTAAATTAGTTTTTTTAACCTCTTGTGAGGTATCTAAAAAGCATAGTTTTTCAACAGCTCATGTGAAACAAGATTATAACAAATTCTCAATGAAAAAACCAAAATACAAACTTACATCCCAAAACGACCTCCACCAAAGTCCCCTCCTGCACATCTGCCGAAGAAGTCACCAGCTGAAGGATGTTGATCGAGCGCAAATCGTGCTTGTAGAGCAGCAACTGCTCTTGCAATGATTCCCCAGGCGAATCGTTTGGGTTCTGAAATTTAAATATAAAAATTTACATAGTTTTCGTGGTTTTTAAGTCAAATCAAAAATTGTGTGAAAGCCCTCACCGATTCGACGAGAAACCGAAATGCCTCATTGCGCAGGTCTCGAAGTGAAATTTCTTGGCCATCAACCTAAGGTAAGGAGATTAAATTGTCGAAAAAGACAAAAATACCGTAACCGTCTTCCGGTTCAGACCCGACTGTAACTGAAAAGACAAGCCGCTCATCTGGACGTTTGGCGATGATGTGCTACACCGCGAAAAGGCCGAGCTCGTCAGCACCGAGCCAGAGCTGAATATTTTAAATAAAACAAACAAACAAATAGAAAAAATATCGTCTTAAAAGTTTAATCTATCGGTTCCGATGCCTTCAACGCGCCTTTAAAACCCAAAAAAAAACCTACCGGCGGCTGTCTGTCTCGTAGTCGCTGTCCTCTTCAGGTATTCGATCGCACCACACGCCGCCGGTGCTCGACCATTCTCTGAAAAGCAGAGATATCAAGGAATTACAGTAATATCAATATCGAAAATTTATATATATGAAGGAGAAACTCAGGAAAAATCCCATTTCCATTTGATTTTAAGATTTGTAAAAGGCGACGAAGACCCAGAAATGCTTTAGAAATACCGAAAAAGACAGCCCTTTTAGAAATAACCCTACAAATCCTAACTAAATCAAGGGGGTAGTCAAGGCGTTGTGTGTATCCACGTGTAGTCCGACGTCGTTAAATTCGTCTTCCCCTTGGCGTCCCCCCTAGCAAAAATGGGATGGCCGCTCGAATTCCGTAAAGCACCCAAAATGAAGCAAGCGATCAGCATAAAGGGTTGGCAGCTATGGGATGGGTCTCTGAAAAGGGGGGAGCGGGAGGGGAGGAGGAGGAGGAGGAGGCTTCTCCCAATTAAGAGGAGTGAAATTATGAGGGGAGGGTTAGGGGATAGAGCGAGAGATAGGGGAGAATTCGAGATGGGGGAGTGTATAACCTCATCATTTTCCGAAGGCGGATATTTGGAGGGTTAATCCAAGGAATTAAAATTTGAATAGCTCTGTTTAAAATAGGCGCGTTATTTTCGATGATAGACTTAGCATAGAGATAAGCTAGAGAGAGAGAGAGAGTGACAGAGAGATAGAGAGAGAGAGCGAGATAGAGAGAGAGAGCGAGATAGAGAGAGAGAGCGAGATAGAGAGAGAGAAGCGAGGACAGCGAGAGCGAGAGAGACGTAATAGAGAGTGTGAGAGCAAGGTGAGAAATTTCAATCTCTATTTAACGGTGTTTTTTGCTATAGTAATTGACTTAGCATAAATATAAGCTAAATGGTGAAATAGAGAGATGTAGAGAGTAAGAGAGCAAGGCATATAGAGTAATAAACTTTCTATAACCGCCTCCTCCCCTCATCCATTCATTTCGCGGTGGGACCCAACTCAGGTCGATCGCCAATTATTTTATGGAGCCGTTTGGAGCGCCCTCCGAGTTGCCAATGCCCTCCAACACAACTCGACTCATCGGGACCCCACCGGAAATTGGGCCCCGCTTTTTTGGTGGCGCCCTGATGGGCCCTGAAAGTCTAGGGGAAAGGTTGCGCTCCGAGGGTCCAACCTGCTAACGATTAAAGGGATAGTGACAGCAAAGCTGTGGAATTTAATTGGGACTTGAAATTGTCGAATTCTGGAGTTTTTAACAAATCAATATAGTCGAAGAGACGCGGTGAATACGTGCGGCAAAGCAAATTTCCGCAACTGATTTCGTAAGAACTTTTTAGACGAAAATACAAATCGAATTTGAATTGCTATTAAGATGCCCGCAGGGATTTCGGGCGCAGCAAAAGGGCGGCGAAGTTCGGGGCCTGAAAATTTTATGAGCCAGATGGGCGGGAGGTGAGCAAAGGGATGAAGGAGACAGAGAGAGAGAGAGAGAGAGAGCGAGAGAGAGAGACGGAGATAGAGAGAAAGATAGCCGAATTTCTTAGTAAGTCTTGGTTCTCATTGAATTCTTGGCAAAATGCCAGTCCTAAAAAAGTCGTGTGGTGCGGATTTGTTAAATCATTGGGCAGTGGAATCACGCGCCGATAAAATTCCGATTAAATTTCAAGAATTACAGCCAAAAAAGCCGAAACATCGTCGGATCAGCCACGTTAATCGTAGCAAAAATGGGGCGCTTCCCAGAGCTGGTGGGCGGCCGTTTTTGGAAATGACTAGGCGGACGGCAAGCCGCTGCACAAACATTGCCCCAAACCAGGGCAGCGCTTGGATGTGTGAAAATCCCAAAAAAGACAAAAAGCCCGCACGATTGTTGGGTGGTTTTTAGGGGAGATTTCTCCGGAAAGTGCGGTTTTCAAGGGTTTGCAAAGTGCGGGTTTTATACCGAATTTGAATAGAGGAAGACGGATCGGATGAGGTTTAGACATCAACGTCCTCTTAGAACTTAAGGCCAATTTTTAAATCAATTTAAAGTGTTTTAAGAGTTAAGATAATATACAAATTAGCGTCGAATAAATTCCGGAATCAAGCATGGAAATAAAAAGAATTTGAGTGTCACTAGAGTTGAAAGACAGCACATCGTAAACCATGCGATCTGTGCATTAAGGACTCCCGTCTGTTTTTGAAAGGGCCTCGTTATCCCAAGAGGAAAGACGTCGGCCCCTGTTTTGACGGTGTGACTCCAAAAAATTCGGGATCTCGGCACACACCACTTGCCAGGCAGAGAGAGATAGAGAGAGAGGGAGAGAGAGAGAGAGAGGGAGAGATCGAGCCACCCTAAAAGCCCAAAAACGGAATAGGTGTAAATACTCGGGTGTGTGTGTTCCGGAGATCGATTGGGCTTGATGGAGCCGTGGTCTCCGTGTCACTTCGTCTCTAAGGACCTAAGGGCCCATATATGGGGCTCATGGCCAAAAACCCCTTTCGAGGTGGCCCGTTTATTTAGGGGGGAGGGCGTCATAGGCCCTTATATCCATAGATATGACACCCGTGGAATGCATCAAATAACCATAATATTATGGGCGGTGTTTTTTTAAAAAAGGATGACGGAGGTTATTTTGGATTTTAGGATGATGATCAGGAGAGCCTCATTAGTAAAATCAAGGAAGTAGCAGAAAAATGAAGCTCTGGCCGGAATTTGAATTTTTTGAAGGTACCAAACCGTTTTATAAATATAAAAGCTACTTTTCACCGTTTTATCATAATTCGGAAATAGGCGACGAAATACATTTGATAAAAAGTAAGTTTAGTATCAAAAATAGCGTTTTTTTCAAAATACTGAAAAGTGTGCGGCGCCATGAAAGCTACTGTAATTATATTTGTACTCGGCAGCGTATCGTAGCTTAACCCGATCTAACAAACAACAACGAACTGCACAACTTGCCGATAATACTCAACACCCCAGCGGCTATCGCTAGAGGGGTGTTTAGTATATTGGCCTCCCACCCCCCGGCCCGAGGGAAAATTACCGGAAATTTGGGTATTTAGTCGGACTTCCGGGAGGAGGGGAGGGACCAAGGATATCGAAATAAGAGCATTAGAGGGAAGGGAGAGACGCAGTGAGAGTGAGAAATGGAGGTGGGAAAGCTCTACACACCCCGATGGCCTCCGGGAATGGCTACAACCAAAAAGGAGGCCCAAAATCTCTCCCACCGGACCCATATGCTACTTCTTTTGAGGGGGGGGGGATAAGCTTGGAAGAGAAGGGTCGGCTTTTAAGCCGACCCTTCTCTTTAAAAAGCGCTAGCCGGTAGCAGGCGCTGGTAAGTCGGGGAATCTTTCAGCCTATAAGTATGATCCGAGTAATATGGAAGGTGATTTTTGGATCAAAATTGTAGGGAGGAAAGAATGAAAATTGTAGATCGCACATTATGAATCATTGTAAAGTGTTCAGGGTATTCTGAATGGTGAATTCTGCATGGATTAAAGTAGAGTGGGGAAACTGGGGTGAGAGCAATGTAGAGTGATTTTAGAAAACTTTGTAGAGCGGAAAAGAAGATTTTAGATGGAAAACACGGAATAATTGTGTATGGATATTTATTAGTTTCTATAGAATCAGTGAAAACCGGACGTCGGTTGACTATTCTTTGAGTTCTAACGGAATAAACAAGTCAAGGAACTGTATGAGTTAACTGATTTTATCAGAACTTACTTCAACGAAATTTTTGGCGGTCGAAACATGATGAATCACAAATCAGCTCGGCTAGATTATTCGCCAAATATTAACTCAAGCGGTGGGTTGATTGGGCCGGAATTTCTGTTCTATAGGGCCCTGCCGATCCCCCCGTGAAGGACCGGTTGCTGCCCTGTTATCTAATCGGAACTTGGTATAGGGATGGGGGGAAGGGGTCGTGGACGCCACCTGAAGCCCGAGTCCCTATGGATATACGACCACTCCTCTAGCCTGGCGGATTCGACGAATTTTATTTAGTCGATTATAGCAGTTCATTGGAATCATCCCTCGATTGAGCGTTTTTATATACAAAATTAGCAGATTTTCAATGTTTTCGCAACGCAATCTTAAAATTTCTATCCTCTGATATTAAACGAATTCAATTTCTTATTCTCTGGGCTTTGAAAAATTGACAGAAAATAAACTAGCATTCATAAAAATCAGACAGAGAAACAACCAAGGAAAAACCTGCGGCTAAATGAATTTTATGCACATGAGCGAAATAAACTCCAGCCCTTGCGCATTTCCCTCCCTTTCCGCGATAATACGTAAGTTCGGCCCTATTTTTTCGTTAGATTACGACGTAGCTCTTGAAGTCTTTAAATTTATGGGTGCTTACATTTTGGCGTCAGAGCTGATAAAGATTGGGAAATTTTGTGTGCCAGAGCTTTGACCTCCAGCGAAAATGACCCGCCCTCCTTTCCATTAACCCCTAATTAACACCACATTTCTCATTTATTTTCCTAACTAGTAGGACCACCAAAGGCCTAATTCCGAAATGCCAAAATAAATTAGGGCCATATAACGAAGAAGGGACGGCGAAGATCCAGACCTAGCCGAGGCGAAGTGTCCTAGCCGAACGTACTTTGTTAAAACGAAATGAAAGACCGGGGCGGTGTCGCCCTGGAAAAGTTTCGAAGTGGGTCTTCTGCAATTGACAGCAGCCAGCACTAGAGGGGGGCCCATCCCCAGGAACGAGACACGTTTTAGGGGGGCTAAAGGACGGGGGTGGAATAATTGGAAAACGGCAAAACCGGTTCGCTTTTGCACTAGGAAGCTAAAAAAGGTTGGAAGTACTTTAGTTATGCAAAAAGGAGGGGACAGTAAAGTTCATAGCAAATTGATAGATATACAGAGGCAGAAGTAACCTCTATTTGTAAAAAAACCCTCAATAAATAAAGAATATATTAAATAAAGAATTGAAGATCTAGAGAAATCTCGTAGGATTCGCCCATAAATAGATGGTGGGTAAAGCGGGGGATTTGCCGGCGGGAAGAAGAAGGTTATTTGAGGGATAGCCAAAGTGGTGGTGGTGGTGGTGGATGGATTTCCGCCGGAGGGGAGGGCGAGAAATTAATATTCATCGAAAATGGGGGGAGTGTAGGGCATCATAGACGCACGCATATCTCTAAAGATCGGTAGGGTTTAAAGGAGTAAGCACCCGGGAGGATCTGACAAAATAAAAATGTACGTTTTGAAGGACGCTAGGAAGTTTTCCATTGATTTCGGCGAATTTAATTGAGCCTGATTTTATTTTTTGCTGAATGCAAATGCAAATTTGCTTTTCGCAAAGTTTCGGGATAAAAGGCTAACAAATAAGTATCATAATTAACGTAGAAGACATTCAACGAAACGAATTTCATATAGATAGATTCCGCGAGGCCTCGGCAAAATAAATTTGTGGGTTTGATGAAACTCTACGAAAGCAACATCCGCCCATCAACACCGAAAAACCTAAAAGGCTGACTTCACAGTCCCGTTAAAATACAATTCTTTAACGAGCGATCGATAACCCCCTAAACTCCCCTCAACTAATATTGTAGATTGGGGCGCGGCGGAGC